TGAGGTTATTAGCCAGCGGGCGTGAGTACGCAATGTGTGCGCTCTCAAGTGCATGTGCGTCCTTAGTAGGGGTAATGGCCGGGAAGAAGAATAAGAGCCAGGAAGTACATCCAGGTGCAAGTTGTACGTAGCGGCTTCTTTCCTTAGTTGGGGTCCCCAGGGCAACGCACCGTAGGCCTCGAAGGTGTTCCCGAAAACGTCCAACGCCTCCAGAATACCCCGAAGAACTCCGAACGAGGGATCCCTGGCCGATGCACAAGCTCTCGGGGCCTAACTGGTACACGAAACTCGAAGAGACAGGGTTCTTATCCTTGGCCTGAAGCGTCGGCTTGGGGTCCTGGATACAACGAGCCTGCAGATAGACAAACTGAAACAAGTCGAGCGCCTCCGCGATGCTCGCCTCCCCAGGCCTTGAGAAGGCAGCCTGCTGGAGCGGTGTAAAACTATGACACAGGCGATGAGCACGCATGCGAGATTTCCGCCCACCTCGGAATAGGGCACGAACGCGGCAAATGGAGATGCACGAGGTGACGGCCGTCAGCAAGACAGACACGTAAGAGCTAACCCCAGCAAGGGGGATACACTTAAGCAAGTCCAACTGAACCACGCGCATAGCTTCCAGAAAGGTCGCCGACGGTTGCGCACACAAACACTGCCAGAGCCCAGCCGTGAAGACTGCTGCCACCGTCGAAGCATATGGAGAGGAACCTTTGAGATCTGAATACACCGAAAGCTGGGCCGACCACCCAGTTAGCAAATCAAGTTCCCGAACAACTTTGACCAATATCTGAGAACCACCAAGCGTGTGAAGTGCCGACCGTTGTCGTAGGTGAACCCGAATGCGGTCGTCGCTGTCCGACTGCAAGGTGCCAGTAGCACAGGAAACGCGGAGCGCCAGGACAGTGAGGAAGAAGAGCCAGCGACCTTGTTTAGTTTTAGTTGTACGGCCGCAAGCCCAGAACACAGAGCAAGTAGTTGTAAACACTGTACTGATGCACGCCCAAACGATATAGCCACCATTTGAGAGAAGAAAGCAAGACGAGTATATCATAGCCCACCATAGGGCGAGAAATCTGTCACGGATTATGGATGTTATGGATATCTGATATGGATTCTGACGCGGCGTCTCTACCACCTTCCATCGTCGTGATATCTCAGCCACGAGTGAAAAGCTTCCAAGTACATTGGAGTCTGCTGAAACCGCCAGTGAGTGAATTGAATCTCCTGGTGCGTCTCGAATAGTACCCGCGTCGTGTGATTGAAATCCCGATGTGTGGCCCATACAAATCGTTCGATCTCCGAGAAGCGATTTAGCCATCGAGAATCTGAAGTGAGAAAGCCACCGATGCGTAAAGCCAACTCGCGATCCACGAATACTCGATCACGTGCGTGCTGCATGTTCCAATGAAGGGTATGAAGGGTATGAATCACGTAGACCAGGGCGCGGTACACACAGCCGTCAGACGGTAAGTGCTCCACTCTCCCTGGATCACACAAGTGATGAGAAGTTAACCAAACTTGTTTGAGTCCCACTTTGAGTCCCCGTGGAGGCCTTCGTAGGTCAGGATCTCTGCGAGTTTTCAAGAGTATCCTTTTGCTCAGCACAAGCGGGCGCGATCAACCGAGCGGGAGCCTATACGTATATGCGCCGACGAGTCGGCTTGAGCGAGCTCCTAAACCCCCGCTCGGAGGTCTGATACTGAAATGTCTGTGGTGTGAGAAGCGGCAATCAAGCAAATGACACTGATAAGAACAGATACTACTAGCCTGTTGCTTTTAGGCCTTGGGAGCGGGAACGACACGAGGCGGGAGAAACGAAAGAAACGAGGGGAAGAGAGAGGAATACAAAAACTTATCAGGCTGTTGGGGTGCTATCTACTGGGCTCGACCGTCATGCGGATTTCCCTACATTTACACGAGCTCAAACAATATACAACCGAGCAAATCGTATTCTGAAACGCTACGCTCACAAGTGTGTGTGCAGGGCAAAGACACGTCGGAACTCTAGGAGAACTGTAAACGAGTCCAATAATATGTTGAAAGAAGCACACACGCACACACTCCCCACCATTACGCGCCAGACGGGGAGGGAGAAGGGAGGGAAGGAGGCAAGGCGGGAGGTGGAAAGAGGGCCGGAGAGGACGGGGAGTGGAGGGGAGGGGAGGGAGGCCAGGGAGGAAGGGGAGGGGAGGAAGGAGGGAGGCAGGGGAGGGAGGGAGGGCGAGCCGGAATCGTCGCCTGCGGACGCCTGGCCAGCGGCTACAATTTCGCGCTCCGATCGGCTCTCAACGAGGCCAGGGGACCATCCCGGCAAGACCCAGGCCTCGGACGGACTGATACTGTGCAATCCGCGGGCCGCAGAGGTCTCGCTAGGGTATTCTTTTACACAAAAAAACACGTCTGAATTGTGCTGAAACCAGCAAGACGACTTGTCTAAGGTCTGGGGGCTTTCCGGCACGGAGATCCCCACCGCGGGCCACGGGGCCTTCGAAACCAGGCCGAGGCCGCGGAGCCGACCGAAGAGCGAGCAGCCTTCGGGAAAGCACCTGCCTGCTGGCGGCGCGCTCAGACGGGGTGCAGGAGCTGCGAAGAGACGATCTTGCTGCAACGAAGCATAAAGCTTGAACAACCAAATGGCACGAAGCGCCAAAGCGGGTGGAAACTTGCATACGAGAGAACGCGTTTCGTGGACGCTTGCCTTGGACAAATATTTGGACACGTGGGAACAAGGGAAGGGCACAACACATTTAGCCTGCCCTGCGAACTGGGCCCCCCCCCGGACGTCGGCCTCCCGAACCGCCCCCCCCCCCGAGGAGTTCGAACCGCCCCCCCACCTGAACAAGAGGAAGTGGGGGGTTTGAACCGGGGGGGTGGGGGCCGTTCCCCCTCCTCTGAATTGCAAGGACGACGACGACGACGACGACGACGACGACGACGACGACAAACAACAGACGGACAACAGACGGCTAAACACGCAACGTAAGCATTACAAAACTCTCCAAAAATCGGCCAGCGCAGATTCCAAATAGATTAGAAGGCTGCCATGAAGTGGACTGGAATGGACTGAAATAGACTAGACAGGAGTAGACTGGACTGGACTCGGGTGGACTCTACTCCACTCTACTCTACTCTACTCTACTCTACTTCACTCTACCACTCACCCTACTCTTCTCTAGTATGCTCTGCTCTACTCTACCCTACTCTACCCTACCCTACCCGAATATATTATGTTCTACACGACTCTACTCCTATTCCTACCCTGATCTACTTATTCTCTACTCTACTCTACCCTACTCTACTCTACTCTACTCTACTCTACTCCCACTCTACTTTACTCCCGCTCTACTATACTCCCGCTGTAACATGCTATTGCTTAATATATTATAGTCCAATTGACTCTAGTATGCCCGATTCTACTCTACCATCTACCCTACTCTACTCTACTCTGGTCTACGCTACCCTACTCTACTCTACTCTACCCGACACTGCCCGAACTACATTAAGCTACATTACTCTACTCTGCTCTACTCCTACTACTGTTCCTACTCTACTCTACTCTACTCCCACTATTATATTATATGCTCGTATGTTTTCAACTCTACTTGCTCCCTGATGCCCTACTCTACTCTACCATATACACTACTCTAATCTACTCAGCTCTATTATACCATACCCTACTCTACCATACCCTGTCCTGCCCAAACCTTTTCTACACTACACCACTCAACTCTACTCAATTCTTCTGTACTCCTACGTAATCCGTATCTGATCGACTCTACTCTCATTTACTCCATTGTACTCAATTATACCCGACTTTAGTATACCATCTACTCTACTCTACTCTGATCTACTCTACCATACCCTACTCGACCCTACCCTTCCCTAACTTTTGTCGAGGCGGCCGTAGCAGCTGAAGACCATCGGCTCGTAATCCGTCGCCGTCGTCGTCGTCGTCAGCGGCGGCGGCGGCGACATCGTCGTCGTCACCTTCACTGTCAGCGTCGTCGCGGTCGTCGGCGTCGTCACCTTCGTCGTCGCTGTCGCTTGCTATTGGCGAAGAGTGGGGGGAGCCAGTTCGACCCCTCCCTTGCAATTCTCAAGGGGAGAGGCCCCCCCCCCTGTTCGAACACGACCCCCCACCGAGAAAGAGAGGGGAGGCCCCCACTCCCTGGGTTCGACCTCCCCCCCCCTCCCCTGCAACTCAGGGAGGGAGGGGGGGGCCAGTTCGAACTCCACCCCCCCTTGAGGGGAGGGAGGCCCCCCCCTCCCCCCCGATTCGACCCCCCGCCTTGAAATTCAGAGGCCCCCCCCCCCCCGGGTTCGACCCCCCGCCCCCTCCCCCCCTCAAAGCGTCCACAGGACGCCGCGCTCTTTCCGAAATATAGGCGCTGCATTCATCAGGACACACCGTTGCAATGCCTCCACGCTTCTGCAAGTCCGTGGCCAACTCGCACGGTCACGGGCGCGCTCGATCGTGGGCCCTTGATGGTCGTCGGCATCTGGCGGTCTTCGGCGGTCCTCGACAGTCGTCTGCGCAAAAGCTGCGCGGATGCGTTTCACGAGGGGCCCGTGGAGCACCCGACCGGGCGCTCGCTTCTGCTTGTGGCCCTTGCATCCCTGCTGGCAGAAAGCCTCGAGGACGCCTGAAGAGAGAGAACCCCGATCAAGCCGTGTCCACTCGCTGCGATGCTGACTCTTTCTGAATTGTCCGCGAGAGGCGGGAGTCCAGGAATGAGGGGAGCGGTCATGGCCCAGAGGATGCCTTCCATTCTGGAGGCGTGTTTGCTTTACTCTGAATGGTATGCCCTCTAACTGGAGGCTTCTAGGGGTGTTTTTCCGGATCATCGGGGCAAGACGTTTTTTTCCACGCGAAAGCTCCACCAACAACTACCAGCAATGAGTTACTCGGAAATGCTTCCTATGGGCAAGACGAAACAAGGAGTGGGCGCGAGGCAAGGGCCTATATGCAACTCCTGCTTTCCAGACAACCGCCGCCCCACCAGCGAGTCAAACCGCTTGACGCACAAGTTGCAGATCCATTCGCGCCAGCAGTACACCTGCAAGGGCCAAGGCGGGCTGAGGAAGACAAGAGCGAGCATGCGGGCCGATGTTCTTGCTGTAACAGATCGAAGCATATCGAACCACGCCTGAAAGTATCCGCAGAGCCAGGGCAGGGTCCAAAGGCGAAGGGCAGCGGAAGAGAGAACGGGTCCAGCAGTAGTAAGCATGACCAGCAAAGGAAGAACAAACAATGACAGAACAGCCGTCTGTACAAATGATCATTCAGTAGAGGGGGTAAGATATCATACTTCACGAGAACAGACGAGGCACAGTTGGAATCGATGCTACGGCATTGGCGCTAGCCCACCGAGCAGAATTATCATCTCATTTCGCTTGCAAAACCCAAGTCGCTCTTGTGACGGCAATCTGCTCGTGGCTACTTAACTGGAACTGGCCAGGGCCGCTTCGTCAAGGACCATCGCATCAACTGTGCACGCAGAAACCGCATGCTGATTGGTATTAGTTCCCATCTATCACCGATGGCCTGGTAGTCCTCGAATCGCCCAGGTCGCCGAGCCTGCTTTCAGAACTCCCTTCGCTGCGCCGCTCTTTTGTGCGCAAGGAGTAGCTTTCCAGATCGACAACAACAAGCCCAATGCCCCCTCTCTGACGCCACTACCTTTTCGTGACGCCAACTCTCTCGGTCCCTTGATCCGGAGCCCCCAGGAAGTCCCCAGAGGCCTCTGGAGTCCCAGCAAAAGTCTCGAACCTCGATCATCGAAGGATGCCGCTGGGCTTGGACATGGGCACCCGCTTCTGCGGACACGGGTCGCGCTGTGCTCCACGACAGCGGCGCCCCATGGCGCCCACTCCGCAGTTCGCCCTCCCTGGGCAGGAAGCATGCGCATCCTGAGGGAAACGGCTCCTGGACCCTGGGGCCTTTCCCCAGGACCAGCTGTTCATCCTGAGGTGCTTTCTGACGGGGCCGTGGAGCTACCCCAGGGCCCGACAACGGCGAAAAAAACCTCCAGGCCCGAGCCCCTCAGGACCCCTTTGCGTCGTGGCGACCTCCAGCTGCCTGGGACCCGGCGAAGGGAGCCAGGAAGTGCACCAGCGGCACCACCGTCCCCAAAAGGTGAGCTCAGGCCACCAGCGGTTGGAGTCGTTCCGTCCCAACGCTTTTCCCCGACTCGGGGGCGTCCAAGAGGCGTGCGTCCAGAAGGGAGGTTCGCAGATCATGGCCAGAGGCACGTGCGCGGACGAGGGGGGACCAGGGGACGTGTTGAAATACAATG